AAAGACACTCAGACATGGCACTGGAGTTCCGAGCAAAGAACCAATATGTGAGGACATCATGTATGAATGTACTCCTCAGCCTAATCGATACACTGTGCCAGTCACTGCAAGATTTTTCCATTGATGACCTCGGCCAAGCAGAGAGAGCACTAACATACCTGAAAGATTCAGACTTTAAGGTGGATTGGTTGGAGCGTAAACTGGAAGAAGTAAAGGAAAAGAAGATAGAAGAGCAGATTGGTAAGACTGGGATGCAAGAATTAGAGGAAGACCTGAAGGTCCTCAAGCAGAAGTGCTCTGACATAGAAGCTTTGCTGGAGAAAGAGAATCAAAAGTGCTCAGACATTAAAGCGTTGCTGGAGAAAGAGAAGACAAAGGTGTTGGCTGCTGCCAGAGCTCCTCCTCTAACATTGGATGATGTTGTCTGATGACTTAGGCTCCCCTAGGTGTTACTGTTATGTTTGTTTGAGTCTAAGTTTCAAAATTAGGTCCTAACATAGGAAGCTAGAGAGACTTTTATTGAAACTGGAAGCTCCTATATTTTATTTTAAAGAACAATCCTTTTTGTTGAGAGAACTTGCTAGGATTTTGTTAGTTGCCTCATTCTTGATGACTATGCAAACAGATTATTGTCAGCAAAGGTTAAGCTACAAGGTGTCTTTATCAAATGTCAGTACTTATGTTAGCTAATTAAAAGCTTAACTTTGATGAATCTGTTAAAAAGAAACATTTTACCACGTAGAGAGTAAACAATGAAGTCAAAATTGTTGTTCGAGGAAAAACTCTCTTGTCATGGGTTAGAAGAAATGCTACTCCTTTCCGAACTTAATGCCAAAGAAGGTGGATTTCTTGTGAACAATGAAGTCAAGATTATTGCAGAGGTAGATGTTCTTCAGGTTATTGGCAAATTAGATGTTTCTGAGGAATCTCAACCTCGAAAAGGATAAGGCTAAATGATGATGGTGAAAGCTTTGATGTCAATGTGTTTCAGGTTCTTCCTTCACAGGTAACATTTTTTATAAAGATCCAAACTGTTTAAGAATGTCTTTGCCAACTCCATCCAATAGTGTTGTGTCTTTGTGTTGTGTAATGTATTCAAGCAATTATCAATGTAGAAGATTAAAGTAAAATGGTTTTTGTTCTTTCTCTCTAAAGACAATGAAACCAAAACAGAGTAAAAGATAGAGAGAAAGTGAGAATCACAACAGATTTATGCATGATGTCCTCATATGTTGGTTCTTTGCTTTGAACTCTAGTGCTATGTCTGGGTGTATTACGAATATACGTTTTAAAGATTCCACCTGCAGTTGAAAAAATGATGTAGAAAGTATAAACGGAATGGTCTCATTTTAAGCTGGTTGAAGAGCGATTATATCTCCTAGAACTCCTTTTTGTCCTTTTCAATATGTTCTCACCAATTAATCATTCCTTCTTAATAGAATCAATCAAACAGACCCATTCTCAGGTTCCTACATTTTATAACGACCTCTTATTGGACACCATCCTTTTATGGACGTATATGCAATAAAAATAATTATAAGTTGCAATTACCATACGTGAATAAAATATATGTGTGATTGCAAATTTTCAATAGAAACAGAAGTAAACCAATATGTGATATAACTCGAACCAGATTGAGTAAGTGTAACCAGTGGTATAAGTAAGTGTAACGCTAAATAGAAATTCCAATAGCCAAAGCTTCTTTTATTTTTTGAACTCTTTAAAAGAAAAAACATAACGAGTTACTCGGCCACACCATTTTCTTTTTCTTTTTTGGTAGGAGAGGGGGAAAACCCCCCAACAGCAAGAACAAATACAAAAAACTGAATAAAAATACAACTACATTCGGGCCGTGCGTAACCTCACAACTCCAGCTGCGTCCTCCAACGCTATCGAAGCAACAGGAGCCGGCATTGAACCACAAGCATGAAAATCCAACGGGAGTGAGAACGCATAGTTGGCCAAACCATCTGCTAGACGATTCGCCTCTCTGTACACATGAGAGATACGGACTATCCAGTCCCTAGAAATGAAGCCATAACACAGACGTACTAGGAAAGACAGCGGATGCGAATCCTCGATCCCTGCCTGTAAGAAACCCACCACTAATGTCGAGTCCACCTCCAACTCCAACCGTCTAATCCCCCGCTCCCAAGCAATGTGTAAACCATAATAGACCCCCACAATTCAGCTAAAGGTGCTGAGCATATACCAATATTCAAAACAAAACCAACACACCATTGGCCCTCTCCATCTCTCACCACTCCTCCAGCTGTAGCTAAACCCGGATTATCCCTAGATGCGCCATCGGTATTCAGCTTGAACCATCCCGTACTCGGTGGGGTCCATGTAATGCTCATCTCCACCCCACTCCCCCGCATAGCTCCTCTCCGTAAATTTGATGAGCCATCCAAATTTCTCTAGCCTGATCCACAACAAAACGCAGACGATCTCGACAACGGCCATTCTCTCCAAACACGTTCCCACATCGCCATTTCCAGGCCCACCAAACCACTATCGCAAACAACGTGGCCCAAGGACAGCCTCGTATCTCCGTAACATCACTCGGATTTTGATAAACCCAGTCCAAGATGTTGCTGGCAAAGAAAGCTGTGATCTTACCCCGAGGAACAAGGCGACCCCAGATTCCGGCTATTAAAGGACAATCTCGGAGCACATGAAGAATCGTCTCATCCCCACCCTTACAAACCTGACAAACGCCCGACGCTGATAAATGTCGCCTTCTTCGTTCCACATCCGTCATAATAACTTGATGGACGACTAACCAAATGAACACTCGCACCCGTTCTGTTGTAGTTACTCGCCATACCCGATCAAAAAACTGCCTCATATTCTGTGCTTGAGTCCCACTTTGTAACAAGAACGAATAAGCTGATTTCACTGTGAACTGACCATTTGCGGTTGCTCCCCAACTTGTTCTATCATTAGAACCTGTAACCGTATCCACCACCATTGACAGCAAGCGTAAACGCACACCCTCGGAGACATAAAGTGTTATTTTCGCAAGGTCCCAGCCGGAACCCTCGTGCCAAAGCTCTCTTATTTTAATCCCCTGAAAGTCCGCTGGAAGCTCCACGACTGCTAGATCACGTATCGGGTCCTCCACCAACCACTTATCATCCCATAAACAAATGTCTTTACCATCACCAACAACCCAATTCATACCTGGGATCACCACCTCACGCAGCCCAGATTTGATACTCCGCCATGTGGAAGAGGCATTTCGCTTAGTATTCATCCAAGTAGTATCCCGCAAGCCCCCAATTCTGTATTTGCTGCGTAGAACCCGAGCCCAAAGGCTAGTCCTATCCTTCATTAGTCTCCAGCCCACTTTCGAAAGCAGCGCTAAATTCATTGGTCGAGCAGAGCGAATTCCCAGTCCCCCCTCCGCTTTGGGTAAGCAAACCCGATCCCACGCTATAAGGTGTAACTTTCTCTTCTCTAGAGTGCTCCCCCATAAGAAGGATCTTGACAACTGATCCAACTTAGCTAAGGTGGACTTAGGTAAGGCAATAGTAGTCATCGTATGAACCGGTAATGACGCCAGCACTGCTTTCGTCAAAGTCAATCTCCCTGCCAAGCTCAAGAAACGACCCCTCCAACCAGCAAGTCGTGACGAAGCTCTCTCGAGAACCTCAATAAAAGTGTCCTTATTTATTCGTTTTTGCAGGGTAGGCATTCCCAAATACTTCTCCAAATCACGTGTTGCTTGTATGCCACTTGCATCACTGATTTGCCTAGCAAGGTCCTGATGAACATTTTCTGAGAAAAAAATCTTCGATTTCTCTAAACTTACTCTCTGCCCGGATGCGCTACAAAACCGCTCTAACACTCTCCGGATCACCCTGATTTGAGCAACAGACGCCTCAGCAAATAAGATGAGATCATCAGCAAAACATATGTGAGATATCTTCGGCCCTCCTTGTGACAGACTAATTGGCTTCCAGTCCTTAGTTGCCACTGCCAAATCAATCTGGTGACATAGTCTCTCTATACATAACACAAACAGATAAGGAGAAAGGGGGTCTCCTTGCCTTAATCCCCTTTCCGGTCTGAATGGTTCCGCCTTCTCGCCATTCCACAAAAGCGTCATTGCTGGGCCTGTAACACATTTCATAATCCAATCCTTCCAATTTCCCAAAAACCCTGCTGCCACCAAAGTATCTTCAAGAAAATCCCACCGGATACGATCATAAGCTTTCTCCAAATCAAGCTTCAACAACATCCATCCTTTCTTCCCCTTCTTTTTTCGCATAGAATGAACCACTTCCTGCACAATTACGATGTTGTCGGTGCTAAGTCTTCCCGGAATAAAGCTCGCTTGAGCTGGTCCGATCAGACCTGAGATCACCTTCTTCAACCGCAGCACCATAGCCTTTGTAATTGTCTTGAACAAAACGTTACACAAGCTGATCGGTCAAAACTGCTTGATTGTTTCCGGTTTCATAACCTTAGCAATGAGAATCAACAGAGCATCATTTGTTCCTGCCAGAAATTCCTTTGTAGCAAAGAACTCCAGAACAAAACGCGTGACAGATTGACCTACCACTTCCCAACAATTTTGATAAAAAATTGGTTGGTAGCCGTCCAGACCCGGTGCTTTGAAGCCACACCATTTTCTTTATATACTAAAACGAGTAATGTTTTATAATCACATCTCTTTAATTCAACTTTGAACTTTGAATTCTCGTTGGTCTCGTTTGTTTCCTAACGGTCGTTTTTAATTGCGTAAAACATTTGACGCTTCCGGGCATATTATTTCTATCAAAGTGTAATTTAATGTATAATTGATCAACAAATGTTGCTCCTGTCAAGAATCAATCACGATTACATTACAGATCAACCATGGTCTCAAATAATCAATCATGGTCCCAAATAAGTCAAAGTATATGAACTACAATTATGTTGTAATTAGAAGGCTGTAGAATTCTTGATGTATATAAATAGGGGTGTCAAAATGGTTAACCCAACTCAACTCAACTCATATTTAAATGAGTTTAGAATTAAATGAGTTATGGGTTGACCCACCCCATTTAACAAAATGAGTTGGGTCAACCCAAAAATCATTTAATTTGATGGGTTAACCCATTTGAGTAATAATTTAATTAATTATTATTATAAAACAATAATAAATAATTATCATTATTAATAATTATTAATTTATTATCATCATACTAGGATATTTACGGATTCCACTTTTACGGATTTTCGTTTTTGGCGGGGAGATTACGGGTTTACGTTTTTGGTGGGAAAATTACGGGTTTACGTTTTTGGGTAGAAAATCACGAGTTTACGTTTTTGGCGAGAAAATCACGGGTTTTTGTTTTAGGCCGGGAAATTACGGGTTTAAGTTTTTGGCGGGAAAATTAAGGGTTTACGTTTTATGCGGGAAAATCACGGGTTTACAATTTTTTCGGGAAAATTACGGATTTAAGTTTTTGGCGGGAAAATCACGCGTTTACGTTTTTGGGCGGGAAAATCACGGGTTTACGTTTTTGGCGGGAAAATCACGGGTTTACGTTTTTGGCGGGAAAATTAAGGGTTTACGTTTTTGACGAGAAAATTACGGGTTTATATTTTCGGCGGGAAAATTACGGGTTTACGTTTTTGGCGGAAAAATTACGGGTTTACGTTTTTGGCGGGAAAATCACGAGTTTACTTTTTTGACGAGAAAATCACGAGTTTACTTTTTGGCGGAAAAATCACGGGTTTACGTTTTTGGCGGGAAAATTAAGGGTTTACGTTTTTGGGCGGGAAAAATTACGGGTTTATGTTTTCGGCGGGAAAATTTCGGGTTTACGTTTTTGGCGGGAAAATTTCGGGTTTACGTTTTTGGCGGGAAAATCATGAGTTTACTTTTTCTCAATTTCATCGCTTGTATATTTAAGAAATTTGGCAAAAATATTGATTTTATAAATTGGTTTAGATATGTTGGTTAAACTTAAACTGATATTGGTTTAGAGATTTTTGTTGGTTTAATTCAATTTTACAAAATTTGATGGGTTAATTGGGTAAACCATTGAAACCATTAACCATTCCAACCCAACTCATTTTACTCACCAAACCAATCAACCCAATAACTCATTTGACCCATCAATTCATTTGAGTCAAAAATTTCAACTCATTAGGGTTCATGGATTGAGTTGAGTTGGGTTGACCCATAAATTTTGACCCATTTTGACACCCCTATATATAAACAATTGTTTTTTTTTCTTTGTATATAAACAATTGTATCTCAAAGCTACAGAATCTTCCAATTCGCAATCCTTTTTCTATAGCACCATTTTTCATTATTTTATGTATGACTAGAGAGTAGAGACTGATTCGTGGTATACTGCACATTGATATTTTATTAGAAAATTGAAGATTTTATTTAATTAATATTATTTATATAAAAATTATATTAAAAGGTATACCACAAACTTATATATTTATCAAAATTAAATTTTTGTTTTTAAAATAATTTAGATATATGCTATTGTTTTTTATTTATGATACACCTTAAGACGATTTTTATAACTAAAAAAATTAAAATTTTAATTTATATTTGTTTTATTAATATTGTTAATTTTGTTATTTTTAAAAATTGTATAATTGTATTTTGATTGTTAATCCTATGATTTCACTCATAGTATACCATCTAATATTAATATCAACCTAAATCCGTCACACCATATAACCCCGTCCCATGAAATTAAACATCATTTTGTCATTTTCTTATAAAGTTCAAATATAATATTAGAAACTTCAAAAAAGTTTTAATATCGATCCAAATTTTATAATTGTATTTTAATTGCTATATCTAAGATTTCAACGTATTATACGGTCTTGTATTAATATATTTAAAAATATTTATAATAATTAAACTTCTTATAAACAGTACTATACCCTAAACACTATGCACTAAACTCTAATGGTAAACCCTAAACCCTAACCCCAAAACCCTATAACATTACCCTAAACCCTAAATCCTAATCTCTAAACCCTAAACCACTAATTTGCTAAACTATAAACTCTAACGCTAAACTCTAAAATCCATACAATAATAATTATACCCTAAACACCAACACCTTAACTCTAGATCCTAAACCCTAAAATATAATTCCTAAACAGTATTTCCCTAAAACCTAAACCCAAATAAATAAATAAACTATTAATACTTATCACTAAACCATTTACACATAATTAGCAACCATATATCCTAAAAATTTAACCTAAACAATTAACCTTAACAACTAGCATTAGCTTTACGTTATCCATCATAACAAACCCAAGTGGTTTGAGAACCCAAAAAATACTTATATATTGGGGCATATATTGTTCAACTATACATATCAACGTGGTCATATATTTTAGGTTGGACAAATCTAGAGATTTTGTATACTGGTCCAGCCTTGATAGTCTCTACAATCCTTTTTTTGGAAATGTCTAAAGGCAAAAAATCTTTATGTATTGTATGGAGAAATTCTTATAACTTAAACCTTAAACCCTAAACCCTAAACCTTAAACCCTAAACCCTAAACCCCTAAACCCTAAACCATAAAGACTAAACCCTTAACAATATACATATACCATATCACGTACCCTAAACCCTAAATCCTAAGCTCTTAACTTTAAACCTTCTTGTTGTTGTCCATAAATATTAAACATAAGTCTCCTAAATATAAACAAATTTAAATAGAAAATTCATATGATCCAATCCATATGGATAACAATGGAATATATAATCTCAAACGAGAAACATGTAACCATAAACCCTAAATCATTGTAGACAACCATGATTCTTCAACCCAAAACCCTAAATCATATAAACTAAACGCTAAATCCTAAACAATAAAGCCAAAATCCTAAAATGTAAACTCTAGATACTAAATCCTAAACCCTAGACATTAAACCCTAGCCCTTGACTTTAAAGCCTAAACCCTAAATCCTAAGTTTTATATGTACATAATCTATAACCATCAATTCTGGTCCATGATAATCTAAAGCATTCTTCTTAATCTGAAAACGTAAAATACTATTGAGATCGATGTGTTCATAACCAATCATACAATATACACTCGTATTTATTATTTGTTAATATATAATCGTGGATAAATAAATATTAACATTTTCGTAAATAAACTTTTGTGGATATGACCAACAGAACTTGTTTCACCATATTTTATCAACATCTTTTTCATAACGTAACACTTGTTTTATGGATAGTATTATCAAAACGTAATCATTTTGAATTATCGACCATCAACACACATCCACCGAACTCTGACCACGTGGTCTGCATACAAATAAGAATGACAAAATAGTAATTTGTATACATATCATCCTTTCCTTGAAACCCTAGCCGTCTATCACTCTGATATCATCTTCTTCCTCCACCATTAACCTATTCAACCACCATGTCTTCTTTGATTCATCAAAACCATAACCATTATTACCACCATCATCATCATCCCTCTTCCACCTCTCACATTTCACCTCTCCATCAACTATCACAAAAACAAATTAAAGTCTTTACCTTATTCATCAAAATTAGGTCAAATTAAACAAAGAAAAGTAAAAAAAGATTGAAAATATTTGAGTTTATCACCGGATCTTAACAATTTTGACTAATCAAGTTGAATCAAACAAATTGGTTTATAAAATCTATAAAATTTGATTTCTATTTGATTCAAACAAGTTGAAATTTGCTATAAAATTTGAGTTAGTCTTGGGAGAGAGGCTTTCCTTTCGCACTATATACGAGTATGAAATGAAAATAATGGAAAAAGTTGGATTCAATTGTCAACTACTCCTATCGGAAATAGGATTGACTACGGATTCGAGTCAGGAAGTGTAATTGAGATTTGAGAGAGATGTCACGTCATTTGGGAGAGAGGAAGAAGAAAGAAGGAAAAGAGAAGGAAAAAGGAAGAAAGAAAAGAAAAGGAAGAAAAATATTATTTAATTCCTCAACTATATCAAAGTAACTATAGTTAAGTTAGTTTTGAGAGATTAATGGTAAAAAAACTTGAAAAAGTGCCTACTCTCATGAAAGCACTCTATTGCCTAATTAGAACTCAAAAAGTGTCATTCTGCCTAATATTCCCTAAAGATAAAGAGAGTTTTGGGGTTGCTTAGAATTTTTAAATCAGGGGGAAAATATTAGATGCATTGTTTTATATACAACAATTAGAAATGAAGTTATGCATAAACAAATTTAGTATTAAAATAAAATAAAAAATAATATAGTATATAATATGATTGTTGTTTCCTAATATTGATGGCAACTATTTTGGGAATAGAATAAGGACGAATTTCATTTCCCTATTTGTCCCCAAAAATGTTTACCATTTAGAAGGAATGTTTACTCAAAGTAGATCCTACGTAATTCCTCAATATTCTTCTTATGACGAACCATAGAACAAAATTATTGTTCCTCAAATTTGAGAGGAATAAAAGGTAAAGATCTTAAAGTCACTTAAAATTGGTTATATGATAACATTTACATTTAATTAGGGGAAAAATTCAGTTTATAAAATATTTTGAAAGTAAGTTTTAATTATAATACATTAAGAATGTATTGTTTTAATTGATAACAAGTGAATTCATATTAATTTTTAAAATTCAAAATAAGATTATTAAATTTATTTAAATCAATATTAATACTTAAATTTTTAATAAAATTATATATTTTAACTTCATAGCTTATCCCTTTGGGACATCCGATTGTGACATTTTTTTATTAAAATTTGATTTATTCTATTTTTAATTAAATTTTAAAAACACATTCATTGACTCATTGTTACATAGATTCAGACACAATCATATCAGATCAGACAAGACGATTATGTTCTTTGGTGTATAGATCCTAACACTAATTATTACTTTGAACTACCATATCAAAACCTACAAAAATCACAAAGCCCTGTCTTTTCCGAAACACTACTAACTTCTATGGTAAGAGTACGAAGAAGCCAACAACAAATAGTTCCCGTTATGCTGGAGAATAAAAGAAAAACACATAAACAATAATTGTTCAAGAAGCCCTAGTTTCAAGACCAAAAGACCTAAACATAAACCATAAATAGTTAAAACAATAAAGACCTTATCAATTGAGTT